TTTAAACAAAGATTATACAAAATAAACAATAGTTCTCTTGTATAAAGTTTGTGTTTAAACAAAGGAGATTATACAAAATAAACAATAGTTCTCTTGTATAAAGTTTGTGTTTAAACAAAGGAGATTACACAAAATAAACAATATTTCTATTGTACATAGTTTGTGTTTAAACAAAGGAGATTACACAAAATAAACAATAGTTCTATTGTATAAAGTTTGTGTTTAAACAAAGGAGATTATACAAAATAAACAATAGTTCTCTTTTATAAAGTTTGTCTTTGAACAATGGAAATTACACAAAATAAACAATAGTTCTTTTGTACAAAGTTTGTGTTTAAACGACAAACATGGATCAACTGGATATGAAAATGTGAATACCAATTAGCTGGACCAAGTTTGGATGTTTCATTTCTTTCATAATAGCTGCTTCCTCTAGAAAATCCTTTAAGGCCATTGTATCTTCCTGTAAATATTTAAGAAAAAATTAAGACACTTTTTTAACATCTACTGCTGAGCTTAATGGTTCATATAAAGTGCCAACAATTCATATGGTGCAATATTAGTAAAATTATCTAAAAAAATATGTAAAAACTTCCAAAACTTCATACAAACATTACAGGAGTTTGAGATTAAGTTACATTGAGTTCTGTGAAAGATTTTTCAGATTTCAATGGCACTTTGAACTTTGATGTACAAGGAAAGTAAACACAACATACATAATAACCACATTTTAACTTCTCCACACTTAAACATCTACATAATGTATTTGATGTTTTATACAAAGTTCATCTGATAATGACAAGTTAAAACAATATATATATACTGTATTTGAAACTATTTAAACATTGTAGCCATTTTTTGAACTGAAACAACTGCTAACTGTATACCATAACATCAAGTGTGTTCATGAAGGTGCTAATCTCCTATATCTACAATGTAGAGTTGTTAAAAACACAATGCTATAAATGAGGGCATATGCTACCCCTTACACTATTTTGAGCCGTAGCATTCTTACTATTATTTAATCATCTTTATTCATAACAGTTTGTGACATCTTCTGTACTTATGTATTTCTTTAACCTAACACAGTACTTTAATCGATATAACTTCTTACAGTTTTTCTTTTTTGGATAACCTTAATGCAGGCCTCGACAAATCTTGGGCACCAAGTCACCATGGTGACTAAAAATGTCAGCGTGGCACCTAGTATTTTCTCCCATTTTTATTTGTGCATAGGTCTGTGCTAAATAGAACTTGAATCTAGAACAGTTCTGGACTCTTGGATATCTGGAACTATTTTCACATTCTTTCAGTTCTAAATCAAACTTTGTTTCTAGAATTTTAATGGCAGATTCGGCATTTCACGTTTTTCAGAAATGAAGCGCTACAGTTACACAATGTATTACTAATTTCATGTCATTTTATTTTTCTTCTTTCTCTCAATTTAACCAATCAGTGCACATGTTTAGACTCAAATGGGACCAAAGGCAGTTACTTCAGGCAATACTATCAAGTGGTTGTAGATATCATGTGATCATTAGCATGCACTTGTTGCTATGAAAGTAAAAAATATACATTGGTACCTCGATTATCTGTGCTGGTCTGGGGAAAGCAAATAATCACAGATAACAGAAACAGCAGATAATTGGCACTAGTGTATCTCACTAGTTAGCCCATTACTTAGTCAAAATAAAATTTTTCAATATGTTTAAGTTCTTTGCTTTAAATCATAATTTTTTAACTGTCATTGAATCACATTATCACGAAAAATTTCAAAAGTCATCACAATCATAATAATAAAAGCCAAATGTCGGTTGGTCACGCTAAACTTCTCAGAATTTTGTGAGTTACACGAGTCCAATTCCACTTTTTCTCATATAATACTTCCTCTTTTGATTCCCTATTCCCATTTTAGTTGAATTTAATTGTTAACATAAGCTTAAATAGCTCCTAAATTTTGGCACTTTTTTTTTCTGCTATAGACACAGAAATGTATTGGCTCTCTATCAACACCTGCAAAAAATAAGTCATAATTTAGTGCAAGTCTATGTATGGGAATTATTACAAAAAAGCCTTTGTTAAAACAGACTGAAGATACCAATTATCTGTAGGGAAGATGAGAATGTGTAACTAGGTGACACCTCAACACAACCTGAACATGCATCTATGGTTAAAGGATACCTGCCGTGCAACATATAACAGTGGACGACAACTGAAGTTGGGTGAAATCTTAATGTGTATTCTGTGAGTTTTTGTATACTATGTTTTTAATCTCTAATCAAATAAAGTTAACCAAGCTACAAATATTTTGTATTCCTGTCTTAACAGCTAAAAATAAAAGATGCAAGGCTAGGCTTAAACCGAACCAACTTATGATTTGAATGCATGCCAGATCCTGTGCACGAAAACCCCAGATATCATGCAACACCTGAACTTTTGCAATCAAAATTAATTTTGGGCGATAATTTCCCTAAAACATGAAACTGTCTAGAATTGTAATGGCACAATTATTTTGAGAAAATTTGGGGAAAAGAAAAAACACAGATTATCAATGATCACGGATAATAGAGGCGCTAGTGTAGTCTCATTTCCCGGTACAAACAGTAGAGAAGTTAGGTTAGGCACGCCTGGCTCCCGAGTTTTGGGCTAGCTCCTAGATCTGAAAATATTTGTCAAGATCAGCCGTAATATCCAATGTAATTTATGAGTATATGCAGTCGTGTTTTAGAATACTCATTGAACTTTATAAAAAAAAAATTATATTTTAACCTTACTAACAATAACCTAGCTTCCACTATGCAATGTGACTTAACTACCTTTCATTTGTAAGCCACACTCAATATTAGTATAGAATGGTGATAATGAGAGTGACAATTTTTTTCTCTCACAATGAACAACAATTTTTTAAGATACAGTAGGTATATATATATATATATATATATATATTTTTTAAATTGCATAAAGAAAGATTGTATTCAAATTTGTTTGCAGTTTTATTTATTTTTGGGAATATTGCATAGAATAATTTTAAGCATAAAACAAAGCAGAGGTGTTGCTAGGTGCTTAAAAGATTCGGGGGTCAGAATTTTTGGCATTTCAGTATGATATTTATCATGGTTTTCTATTCTGGTTTTTCATAACCCTAACTGGGGATTTGGGACATAGACCTTCCATCTGCAAGTGCCTAGCGATGCCTCTGAGAAAAGGTTTACCTTGTTTTATCATATAGTTTATTTTTCATAAGCTAAAACGAATATTATAACATGACCATGATGATCAAAATTAATGGATATGAATAAGTAATTTTTATTTCGTTATATAATACAAAAAGTGGCATTCACTTACAAAACTTTCTTATTTTTGTGGGAGAAAAGTACCATTCATTAATTTGTAGCACCACATAGTGGCAATATTTTTCAATAAACAAAAAAATGGGCTAAGCTGATACACTATACTATTTCTATCTACACACTATGTTGTATAGATAGAACTTATCTTTGAGATATAAACTAAGCCACTGTTTGATCTATTACACTGTTTTAGCTGATAGTGAATACACACAGAATACTTTGATTTTTGTAACAGTATTAGGTTTGTGAGTATTAGAAATGCAAGGTAGAGCTGGAGTTAATTTCAGATTTAGTGCTGAAAAGATAAGAGAGTCCAGTCCTAGAAGTTTTTCTTCTTACTACAAAAAATTGTATAATATATTCATTTTGTGAATTACCCATATATGACCTCTAATATTAGTAATCATGCTGAACTTTCTAAAACTGCTTATAAAAAAATGTATGAAGCTCCAAAAATTTCACAAGGGGAAAATCGTGTAATAAACAAAACCTACAAAACTTTGTGTCTTGCATAAATTTACATTCAGGCACAGAATTATCTAAATTGATTACTCATTTGAAATTCTGCACATATGGCTGTGATCAATATCTTTGAATTTTCAAGTGGCTGCCACTTGATCAATAAAAGCGTAAACAAATCTACATGTTATAACATGTGCCCTACCTGCCAGTAGGCTATGATTCTGAGGCAGAAGGAAAATTAACTTTAGGAGACTTTTTTTTAAGGTAGAATTTGTAAACATGAGTAGGTTATCTTCAAAAGTTCCTAAATTTAATTTGATACACATTCTCAAACAATTAAAAATTATGTAGGTGTTAGTTCATTGTTCATAATATTACACACCATTAGCAAAACTTCAAACACAAACCAAGGTCAATTTGCACAATTTTGGGAGTGTGAAATTATACATATTATAACAAGAAAGTCTGGGTTATTGTGAGAAAACAGAGTTTATGTACATTCTCCAGAAGAATGCATAATAAACCAAGTGGAAGTTGGGAGAGTGGAGAACTCTATGGTAAAATTACTCATGATCTGCATTGTGTCAAGGACATTCAGAATTTAAAGTCACGTTTATTGGCAGTGTGAAAGCAAATTTAAGAAGGAAAGGCTTTCAGTATTTCAGGGGTAAACTACCAAATTTGAATTTACGGATCATGAAAGGAAAAATTAGATTTTTAGATCTTTTTGTCTTATTAACTTAAGAGCTTAATTCTACAATGCAAAGTGAAAACAGAAAATGTTGATCTTAAATTTTTAAAAACAAAATAGTAAACAAAACCAATATATCACCTGATTTAGAGGAACACAGCGAGAATGACTATTGACTTGGGAGAGTATACTCATTTTACAAAATGAAATACTGTCAAATAAGACTTCTATAAAATGAAAAAATATAAAATTAGGTAAAATTTAAAATATAGATACTGTAATTCCAAAACCTACTTCATCAAACTAAAATTAGTTTACTGCTCAAACAACACAACAAATATATAGTGTAAACTGAGTTTGTTTCCTCAACCTACACAGTAATTGAATACTTTTATCTCAAATAAAACTCACTTTCAGTGTTTTAACAGCTACTGTCATGTTATGCCTCTTCCAGACAGCTTCATAAACGTCTCCGTACTGTCCTCCTCCAAGTTTGTGTTTCATGACAATACCAGTCCTGTCCACTTCCCATTCATCTGGTTCTGGACTAAGAGCAAATACAGCAGGCTTGTTTCTCTTAGGAGCTGGATAGAGTAACATGGTGATCAAACCATCGGCATGCATGGAGTGATGATGGACAAGTTCAGCCAAAGTATTGAATCGACATTCAGACGTCACATACACCTAAACAAAGGATTTAGTTGAAACACAGGGTACAATAAAATGTATTTCTTTTTTAATTAACCTTCTTATTGATAATTTCCCAAAAAATATGATTTAGTTTTTTAACAACTGAAAGACAAGTTCAGCTATAATTGAATTGACATTCAGACATTGAATACCTCTAAAAAAAAATAATCTTTTATCTAACTGACGAGATACGTTAACTCTGTACACCAAAACCATAAGTGTCTAAGCCATGATCCTTACTTTTGTTCATCATAACTAAGATCTTTACTTAACCTTTTTCTTTCCTATAGCCATCATTATTACTCAGCCTTTTAAATAATTTCTTTATAGCCATAATCCTTACTCAACCTTAATTTTATTTTCTATGCATACATCACAGTATGTTAGCTAAATGCATGTCACATCAGTAGCTTATGTAACCATGTATTTGCATTTTCTTATTTACCTTCATAGCAAATAACGACTTATGTGGGTTAACAATCAAATGCACACAGAAGAAATGCAGATTAAAACTGATCACTCGTTTGTGCTTACTTAGATAATAAACAAATTTAACATTAACTGTACAAATGATTGTAGACAAAATAAGTATTACCAAGATTACCTTGTATAATTGTTGACTTATTGTTGGGTAGAAAGCACCATCTTCAAATGTAAGTTGCACTTCACACAAGTTAAAATATTATAGCAAAATAAATAAATATTTTGATATTTGTTACTAAGTCTAAGTGTTTTGTAAAACTATCATACGTACATAATATATCCATCTAAAAATGATACATTCATTTTAAAACTCTATATGACAATATATGATATTTGTTTATAAAAAGTATGATTTGTTTTCAACTAAAATGGCCTTAAAAGTTCATAAATTAAATTTTTACTTAGTTAATAACAACTGTGTAAAATGATGTAAGTAAAACAAATAATGCATAATTGTATGATTTTGTTTGTATAGAGCCACATTTACATGGTTGACTGTAATAATGATATGATATTGTCCAAGGATTTTCATTGGCTGGTTTTGGGGATGAGCATTTGCCCCATTCTCACTGCCAAACATCTTCCAATTTTAAGCATAAAATTCCTAGTCAGGCAGTGATACTTTTTAAAATTAAATTGATTTTTGAAATGGAATAGAGTCAAATAGTGTATAGGACAGTCACATAGGTAACAGAAAACATACAAGAGTCGTTAATGGGTGGAAACATCTAAATAAATGGCCTTATGATTGAAGAGAGAGGCCTTGAAGGTTTATTTTTTATAGTATAGTTACTTTACCAATTAATAATTGCACTTGATTTGGATCACTACAGGAAACAAACAGAATCCTAAAGCTGAAGATATGTGATGTAAGTAGAAGTTTAAAACATATTCACATTCATCCATCAACAGGACTGCAATACATCCTTCAGGACCCAAAGATATTACCAAATGTCATATTTGGTGAGATGAGACCAAAACTCACTCTTAAGGTGATCGGATATATCAGAGTAAACAAACCAATTAATTGCAATAGCTAGTTTCTTAATGCTGTTGGAATGTGATTGGTGAAGCACAATAATTTATATCAAATAAATTGACATTACAACCATCAATGCCCAAATGCT